GGCCCCGGCTCCGACCCTCCACCAAGCGAGCCCTTCGTGCTGCTCAGCCGGGTTTTCGTGATGGTGAAAACCCAGAAGGTTCTGCGCTGGAGAACAGCAGGCCCGAGGGTCGCCCCAGGATGGAGACAGCCCCACGAAACGCTGGAGACTGATGCCACTTTATTGGTAACTCTTGGAGAGCTAGACACTGAAGAACTTGGTTCTTCCAAGACGAAGTTTGTACACAACAGCAAAGGAAACAACAACAACAATAACCATCTGTTGCAACTTTGTGTCTCGGTGCAACCTCAACAATCAACTTTTGCAAGGTGGTATCTGGTGTGACCTGCAGGGCCAAGGGCACAAGGACAGCAAAACGCCCCCCCCCGAGGGTCACGAACTTCCATGAAAGGAGCCTTGTGGCTTACTGGTTTAACTGGCAGGGAAAGGAGAGATGCTGAGAGCACGGCAGAGGTGCAGTTTAGGGGGAAAACCCCACAGGTGAAATGCAGCAAAGCTGGGGTTTGACACCCCCTCTTAGCAATTGTTCAAGTCTTATAAAATCAAACCTATTTCTTTCAATTTAAATAACAAGTGCTTTGGGTACAGCACTTGAATTGCCTGGTTTATAACCCAGTTTTAAGTGCACACAAGCAGGAATAGATTTTTTTTTTCTTTAAAAAACCTATATATATATATTTGCACACTCATACACACACATGCACACAGTGAATTTGGTGCTGCAGCTGTTTTAACTAGAGATGACGGAATGGGCCTGACGTGGCTATCGTAAGCCAGGCTCCAGGAGCTGGTTGTCCGTGGCACCACTCACCCTAAAGCTGCTAAAGATTCTGATTATTTTTGCAAACATCGGTCCCCAAAAGCCTCCCCACGTGGGGCTGTCAGCTGCTCCTCGGACTGCTCAGGAAAATGCTGCCTGGAGGTGACCGAAGCCCACAGCACGTTGGTGCACCTCAATCCATGCTGAGTGCTCAGGAACCTCCTGAAAAGACATGTACGGCCTCATGCTCCTCGCCGGTGTGAAACAAATGCTTGGCAGAGCGGAGGACGCCAACAAACTCAGACCCAAACAGCTGTATTGATGTCAAACCCGGACTGGGTGTAGTCTATGGTCTTGTGGACTTGCTTGGTGCCAATCTGGGTTTTCTTGCTATTGCTTTCCGCCTTTGGGCGCCTCTCTGCTTTGCTGTGATGGCTCTGGATGTTCCCATGAAGTGGGAAGTAAAATGTCCCCTTGAGTTTGTTCATCTTTTTGGGTCTCTTAGAAATTTCGGGCTGTGCGTCTTCAGGTGGAAGCCAGCAAGGTTTCTCCTTGAGAAGCCTGTCTCGGTCTGGCCGAACACTCCTCAGGAACTTCTTGAAGATGTTGGCTGTGAGGGAGAACTTCCTGCAGAGCTCCTGGGATCTGCTCATGGACAGGGATGCCTCGCTCTTCTCCCCCTTCTTATCCAGCTCCGGCAGATCCAACCAGTTCCCAACCA